AGGCCCTCTGCCAAGGGCCCTGCAGCAGGCCCCGGCAAGCAGGAGACGGCCCTGCCGGCCCACGGCTCCCGCCGCCCTTCCCTTCTCCCTGCGGGGCCGTGCCAAGCTCTCCTCCCGGGAGGAGTGGGCCAGCCCCTGCCATGCTGCACGGCGCCCGTCCCGCTCCCACCCCCTGCGCCCTGCTGAGCTCGCACCCTGGCTCAGCGGCTGTTGCCAGCAGGGTCGATCCTTGACAGTACCTGGGGCGGATGCTGGTCCTCCCCTGCGCTCCAGCCTTCCCATGCCGCCATTTCTGCCTGTGCTCGCTCTATTTGCTGTTGGTGCATGGGCCACGTGTGGTCTGCTTCTTTCCACAGGGCAGACTCTTTGCGGAGCTCCTGCAGAGACACAGCAGCAAACAGGATCAGCCTCTGCCCCTGGGGCCTTCCTTCAGCTCCCCACTCCTGCTCCTCTCCTCTGCCGGCCTGTCCCTGCTCCTCTCCTCTGCCGGCCTGTCGGCACTGCTTTGCCCCTGAAGGACCAGGGGCCCCAAAGGCAGGCCGGGATCCGCAACTCGTGGCCAATGTGGCTCAGAGGCCATATTCCTCTCTCACGGCCCCTGCTCAAAATCAGTGCTGTGGCAGGTGGCAGGCCAGGAGGCGAGAAGAGACGGGGAAAGTGTGCAGCACCCTCCATCTACCAAAGAGGAGCTGAAGGAGCGGACAGAAATGTGAAACGGTGGCACCCGAAGGGCTGTGCTCCAGATCACTGCACACACAGAGGCTTTTGCTTCCCTCCCTGCAGAAGCACTCAAGGCCAGGCTGGTCGGGCTTAGAGCAACCCGGTCTAGAGACAGGTGTCCCTGCCTGCAGCAGGGGATTGGAACCAGGCGGTCTGAATGGCCCCTCCCTACCCAAACTTTCCTAGGATTCTACCATCCTATCATTGGTGCAGTCTCAAGCAGCACAGTCCCTGCAGCAAGGCAGAGCCGGTACCTGCAGCACTCTCTTAGACTCCTCGGTGGCAGGGAGTGCAGCGCTGGTCTGGGCAGCAGATGTTTCCTTCTGTCCCGCTTTCTTTGTCCCACGGGAGCTGCCTGCACACGGCGGGAGCGCACTGCAAACAGACACAAGAGGAGTCTGCAGGAGCCCGGGGCACCTCAATTTCCCCCGTGCTCCCACAGCCATCAAGATGGGCTCCGGTGCAGAGCAGAGAGACCCCTGAAGGGAGAAGAGCTTCTGCTATCGGTAGGGATCGGCACTCAGCTCCCCCAGGGACCGGGGACCAGAGTAGAACAAAGCTGGTGTGTCTGCCTCAGGCGATCGTGCTGCGCGCTTGCTGCCCTGGAAAGAACGGCCCCCCCGGGACACACGTGTGTCAGGAGCCTTTGTGGGTGCCGAGAGCTGGCAGCTCCAAAGGGGAGGCCGCTCCTACACGAGCGCACGCATCTCCTTCTTTTCGCCCAAGGCCCTCACCTGCCAGAAGGCTCCTTCGCCACATCTTGCTGCCTTGAACTCGGCTTGCGCTGCAGCAGCATGGAGGGGGGAAGTGTCTTCCGCCTCTGCAGCAGCCTGCCGGCAGAGACCCCTGGAACCAAGAGAGAAAGAAGTTCTTCAGAGCAGCCCCACGGGCACGGCACGTGAACCTGGATCCGGTCACCCGGCACGGGACAGGACCCCCCTCCCTACAGCTGGGACCCGCTCCTCACCTTTACTCATCTTCCGCTGTATGGCAGCTTTTTTTTCTGCAGCGGCCTCTGCTCTGCTCTTTTCCACGGTGAGCTGAAACCTGGAAACAGAGAGTGACAACCCTTGAAGAAGGATGACCTCCTGCCCCACGCAGCTGGTTGGTGGTATTTATCCCTGTGCTCTGCAGAGCGTGGCACCCTTTTCCTTCCTGGCCATGCCAAACCAGCACACGTAGCCCAAATTCCTCTGCACGTGCAGTCCGTTCTCTCTGAGGGAAATCGGGACAGCTTGGGCACCAGAAACACAACCCTGATTCCCCAAAAAGCCAAAAGGCAGCAGTGGAGAACCAGGAGCCAGACTTTCCAGCATTTCTCCCCGACTGGAGGCTGAGCACGGAGACCCAGCAGGGCACGACCCAAAGGAGGAGGTGGAAGGAAGCCTGTCTGCTGGCCAGCTAAGTGCTGCAGAGGAAATGCACTCACCTCGGGAACACGCGGATGCCATAGGCAGCGGTCTCTGGCCCGAAGTCAGCAGAATCGTCCGTCCAGAATCTCTGCAAAGGGACACAGACCTGCTGGAGGCTTGCCAAGGACATTTTTTCATGGCTCTTCTTGACAGGAAGAAAGCCTGGCTCCCATGCCAAGAGAAAGCTGCTCTCCACCAAAGCCTCCTCCGTGAACATCAGAGCTTTGTTCTGCTCTGAAGGAGCAGGATGGCAAAATAGCGAGGCCGTGCAAGAGCACTGCCAGGCTTTCTGCATGGGCAGAGATCCGGGAAATCTCTTTGCCAGTGGAGAAAGCCGTGGGGGCAAGCATTGGGGAAAGGCACTGGACTGGTCTGCCACGTCCAGGCTGGCCAGCGGTGATCCGACGGCGCACCTCACAACCTCCTCAACTTACGGTGTGGATCAGTGCGAGGACGGGGGCATTGCTCTCCAGCGTTTCAATGCAGCTGCAGAAGAACCTCATGAGGAGGAAGCCGTCTTGGCAGGTCATAACGCCGAGGTTCTTGAACACGAACGAGACGGGCTCCCTGCTCCTCAGGAGGTGACAGTACAGGAGCACGCTCTCCCGCATGCAGCGCGGCACCAAGTGCAGTGGGACGCCGGAGGCTCGCGAGAGCTGCCGGTAGTTGAGCGGCTCAATCTTGACGTCGTCTGCAAGGAGAAGGCACATCCTCACTGCCACAGCCAGCCCATGCAGCATTCATAACCAAATCCCACAGAAAAGGTGCTTTGGAGAAACAGCTCTTGGGCTGCGGTTCCTCCTGGAGGAACTCGCGCTGCACCCCGAGCTTTGCAGACACTTCTCTGCTGCTCCCGGCCATTTCCAAAGAGCAGGGAGAACACAGCCGGCCGGACGTGGGGCGGGAAGGGGAAGGTGGCTGCTGCCTTCTCACCAGGGATGATGTCGTTGGGAGACTGGAGTTCCTGCAGCCACAGCACCCCGATGTCCAGCTGGAAGACAGGCCTTAGAACCGAAAGCGCCTCTTCTTTGCTGTGGAATTGCTCTCGGACCCCAGCAAAGACCCCGAGTCCCGGAATCAGGACTCCCTGCACAAGGAAAAGACAGAAAGGCTGACGAGCGTGTACTTTAGGGGCGGCAAAAGCCACGAACATCAGGAGCGTGGGGTCACTGCTCTCCGCCCTCCCCACTCCTGATGGACAGCGGGGTGAGATGGGGCTCTCTGGAAAGCATTGGAAAAGTCTGTGCTCCCTGCAAGACAGTCACCTCCACACAGTATTTCCCAACATCCCTCGGCTAGAGAAGAGCCTGGGCATGGACAGCACAGGGCTGAAGCCTGGGACTGATCCCAAGGATTATCCTCGGCACAGGGCCAGAAAAACCCCCCACCCATTTCTCCGTTTGCTCTCCCCGTTCTGACCAGGGCAGAGCGAAGCCCCTGCGTGTGCCAAACGTTTGCTCAGAGCAGCTTTGGCCTTGGCTTTCCCTCCCAGTTGGCCAACAAGCCGCTCTGGGCACCCGGCTTGGGCTCAGTGTGCTGCTCAGTGTGGTGCTCAGGGAGGGATTGCTCTGCGGGGCCCACACTCTCGGCAGGACTGAACCCCTCTCCAGGGCGAGGGTCACCAGCACACCAGCCCACCTTGTCCAGCTTCATCTGTTCCAGGATGTAATCAGACACAGCGTCCCAGACTGCCACAATCTCTGCAAAGGAAAGAAAAGACAAGTCAGGCTCCAGGCCAGCCTCTTCACAGCTGCTTGGCAAGCTCCTCACACAGACAGCAATCGGTGCAGGCACACGCACACACCCCAAAAAAACACCACCATGGCTACCGGAGCTGGGCTTTGCTCCGATTTCAGCCTTATTCGGAGCCCCAGGGGGAAATGGGGACATAGGAAGCCTCTGGGACACGGGATGCCTTTCCTCCCAGAGCTGCAACCTCCGGAAACACCGTCTGCCAGGGAAACCTGGCCTCGGACTGCCCTATCACAGGGGACCGAGCATGCCTAAAGGAAGCGGGGGCTCTGGGCAGCTCTGCTCTCGGGACCTGGCTGCCACGTGGTCCCCAGAGCCCAGCGGGACCCTTGGGCAGGGCTCTCGCAGCAGCCCCCAGCCACGTCCAGCCAAGCGCAGAGAGCAGGAGCTGCGGCTTTGGACAACCAGCAGCCCCGCGCGATGCCTTGGGAAGGGGGTCCAGACAGCCTTACCTTCAGCAGAGAGTTCCAGCAGCGTTGGGAACGCATAGGCCAGCTCCGAGCTGACGCTCACAGTCCAGCAGCCTTCCATGCGGTTTGCCGACAGCCTCAGTTCAGAACTAAGGATGCCCTCCGCCAGCAAGGCTCCTCAACCAACCAACAATTCTCTGCAAAGCGCCCCTGCTCCTCCACGCGTCAGTGAGGGTCACCCAGAGCAGCCTGGCTGCCCCGGAATCAACTGGTCGCAGAAGGACAGAGCCCCTGAGCAGTGCTGCAGCAGCGCCCAGGCCCTGCAGGGAAGTGCCGGCCCTGCCGCTGCCCCGGGGAAGATCTGCTTGTGATGCAGCGCATGGCATTGTGACATCAGCCCGTGTCACCTGGAGCTCTGTTAGGCATTG